GTGTAAATTTTCCATTAGGTTGTTTTTCCCATACAGTAGCCCACAGGATTAGAGCTAGGGGTATATTTAGAACAGTTGAAATTCTTGGGTAATCTGATTTAATAGTAATTGACTCAAGGTTGAGGTCTGTCATATTATTAATAGTATCTGTTCTCCATGAAGGTGGAATCTGATCATGACAGTAAGCATAGTACCTTGTTGCTGCAACTGATACACCACGATAACCCCAAATCCACTCTGAGTGAATGTGATGGTTTATTCTTACGTATCTCTTATCAGCCACTGCTTGTACAAGTCCTGAGGAAGGTTTCAGGAAATTCTTTTCTACCCATTGCTTGTTAACTGCATCCTTATCATTTACAGGATCCTTTAGATCAAGAATACCACTTGAATCTCCCATATCCAAATCACCCTTTACCAGTCCACCTCTACTACTCATGAACTCATCAGTTGCCCATTTCTTATTTACAGCAGAACCGTCAGTTGTAGGATTACCTACCCTAGTTAGCTCGTAATCGTTAACATCAAGATTGCCCGATAAAACACCACCACCACACTTCAGAAACTGAGAGCACCAGGAGCTCATAGAACTATAGGAAACTGCAGCAGAGTCCCCAGCTGAGCCACTACTGAGACCTGTAATACTATAACCACCCATGTCAATGTTACCTGTCATACTGAAGCCACTGCTGCTAATTGAAATCACGCTGACGTGATCCGTGACCCATTTCTTAGACACAGCAGAATTATCGGTTGTAGGAGCACCTAATTTTATTATCTCATAATTTCCCATGTCAAGGTCATCAGATAGTGTAAGACCACTATAGGTCTCACGTTTACGTCTACCTCCAGAGATCTTATTTTCAACCCACCCTCTATTTACAGCGTCTGTGAGATACTCAGGATTTCCGAGTTCACGTATTCTGTTACCTTTCATCCACAAGGTACCGGTCATATTGTTTCTAGAACCGCCCGCACGCGTGACAACATTATTTTTTACCCACCCAATGGAAACAGCAGATGTGCTAGAACTAGGATTACCAATATTTTCAATTTCATTTCCACCCATCTTAAGATTACCAGTCATTTCACTTAGACCGCTTAGTTTAAGATAAGTAGCTAGCTGGCTAAATCTTACTAGACTTGCTGAATCTAACCCATCTGAGAAACTTTTAGGGGCCTTAGAGAAGCTAATAGGACCAGTTACACTCTGTAATAGGAAAGAGTCACCTAGCCTCAAAAATGTTCCCCTGTTTGAGTCAAACCACCTTTTTGTAACAACAGATTGGTCAGTAGTGGGATTACCAACGTTTTTAATTTCATGTCCGCCCATTTGAAGATCACCTGACATTGTAAAACCAGAGGTACTAGGAACTGTAGACATCTTATTTTCAACCCAACCTTTAGATACAACTTCACTACTAAGTTTAGGATCAATAATATCAAACAATCTCCAGCCTCCCATGGAAACATCTCCTTGCATAGTTCCACCTTTTTTAACAAAGTTATTGTCAGCAGCCCACTTTTTTGTGACAGCAGACTGGTCCTCAGTGGGGTCAGCTAAGTTCTTAATCTCGTGGTCCTTCATATCGATATCCCCAGCAATATCAAGTCCGGTGACGGGTCTATTTAGCATTCCAACTACCCAGTCCTTACTAACAGCAGACTTTCCAGTTGTTGGATCACCCAAAACCTTTATCTCATTTGTTGACATATTAAGATCATTCGTAAGGATAAGACCGGGTAAACTAACATGTACATGCCTACGACTACCTTCAACCCAGCTCTTACTAGCAGCGTCACCTGGATTAGTAGGATTATCAAGATTAGTTATCTTATTACCTCCCATGTTAATATCCCCAGTCATTGTAAACCCTGCTGGTTGAATTGTAACAGCAGCCTGTTTAATGATCTCATCATCTACCCACTTTTTTGTGACCGCAGACGTATCATCTGTTGGTGCACCCAAGCCTTTCACCTCATTACCGTCCATCTCAATGTCACCCTTCATGGTAAATCCATCCTTATCAAACACACTGCCACTTGAAGGATCAACTTTATTTACTCCTTTGTTGTATCCCTTATAGAGAGCCATTTTATAGAATACATAATGTTTACAAGATCATTTTCATTAGAATAAATACAACTGTAGCACCAATTCCAGCCCCGGTAATAGCGCTAACTTCCGAAGACTTATTACTGTTAACCATAGTTCTACGGAAGGAGTTGTTTGCTCTAGGTTTAGTCCCTTGTTTTACATATCCACTAAGAGTATCAAGGTGATTAACAGGTGTTGTATCCTGATGTTGCTTCTTTGGAGGATCAGCTTTTTTAACACCAACATAATTAAGCTTTGTGTTAACACCACGTTTCATATCAAAGGTAGCATTTACAAGTACATTGTTATATCCAGTAATAGGTTCCTTTAGAATAATCAGACTGGATGGAACCAGAACTATTCCAGGTGTAATGGTAGTATTAAGTATAACATTGGTGTCTTCAATAGCCTTTCTCATATCAGACAGAGTTACAACGGGATCTGCTTGTACAACACAATTATGAACAATATTACCGAACTTTACCTGGGTAGAAAATGATTTTCCCAACTCACCGACAATTGGAGTTCTTGTCGATGCTTGTGCACCTAGTACGGAATACGAAAATGCCTGCACTGACTCGTTTAATAACAGTAACCCAGTCTCTGTAATCTTTTTAGGAACAACTAAATTATTAACAGCAATAAACCTTCTATAGTCAGACTTACTTACCAAACTTACCGAAACCCTTTCCTCGTAACTAATTTTTATCTTAATTAGAAATCCATTGACTGAATTTATAGGGGATGCAACCACATTTCTAACTGGATTACTATCACTACCTCTCTTCCTAAGCCAACTTGCTTTTTCATACTCAAGTCCATTATCATAAGTAACCCTATAAGTATCAGTTTTACTCTCCCACTTACCAGCAATAGGGATGTGACTCTTTACCGGACCCAACTTACTCAAATAAGGTCTCAGTCTCTCCGGGTTATACACAAATTTCCTGATAGTGTAATAAACATGAAAATTCATGACACTAGTGATAACAGGGTAGGTCTCATTAGTAAAAGTCATATGACTAGTAGTAATTCCACTAAGATGTGTAGCAATATAGGCTCCACAGAGTGCAGCAAAGTATGGCTTTTTATAGTCGAATTTTACATCAACATTCTTAATGGAAACAAAACTTTCCACACTTGGAAGAAGAGATCCGCCTGCGCCATCAGTTGTATCAAAAAAGTTTGTAGCATCAATATACACCTTAAACTTATTAACATCCTTAGGCCATCTTATTTTAGGAAAGTAACTAATACCATCAATTGTATCATCAGGATTTACCCCGTACCCAGTTCCCCTTCCAGATGACCACATTGCTGGCCACCCTTTATTTAATACTTCTAGTGGAGGCTGATCCATGTCAGTTATAGGTATAAACTGAACAGGTACCTCAGCCTTTTCTTTAGTACCTGTGAGATAAGATGTGAATTCCCTATCCTTCTTAAAACCGTCATACCTAATGTCATATGAAGATATACCATCTAAATCAACAAACCAAGTGATAACTCCTATATCACCACTACTAGTAGCCTTTGCCTCAAATTTAAACCTATTCATATCAGCGTGAGGGTACTTTTTAATAAATTTAGCCCTCTCAGCATTCTCTGCATTTTTACCAGCAACAGGATTGACATGATCTTCATCATCTTTATTTCCATACTTATTTTCATATTCCTGATACGATCTATACGGCGACTTACCAACTTCTCCTCCACCTAGTCTCATTCTTAATAACCTAACGTATGTTATTAAGATGAAGTTCACAATTTTACTTCAGGGCTCGCACACTATTGTATCACTACAGAATTCAGTTCTTACAAGCAACTATAAATCAGTCTTTATAAAGAGAGTATAGGTATTCTGGGAGTACTTCAACATAAGGGAACCAACAACTATTCTCAAAGTGAAAACAGATGATGGAGAATCTGATGTAATCATTCATAAAGGTTACTACACATTTGACAGTATGAAGAAGTTACTTGAAAGACACGGTGTTAAGCTAACCTACTTTGCTGAAACAGCAGGATGCCAAATAGAGGCAGTAAAACAAGATACCACAATAGAAACACGATTACTGACCATATTAGGTTTTAATAGATTTTTAATCCTATGATCCTACTAAAAGGGAGGAGTTTGACAAGTGATAACAAAGTTGACTTTAATAACGGTCTACGATACGTAAATATACACTGCAATCTGGTAAGTAACAGCTTTAATGTTAACCCTTGGGGAAGACCCAGCGATGTAATAACAACTATTACAATTCCAACTGACAGACCATTATTGGGCTCGGTAGTTAGTTACATTGATGTTGAAAGCAGGACTTCGATTATCAAGGGTTCATTCTCAGAACTTGTATTCTACATGACAGATCAAGATGGGAAACCTATTGATATAAGTGAAGTGCTTATCGAGATGTACCTTGAGTAGCTAGCTTACATTGGTTAATATAAGATGGACGATGATATTATGAAAGAACTCAAACTTTAGGTGAACAGTTACAAATGGATTTAGTTCTGATAATTACAACAGTTCAGTGAACAGATCAATTAAAACAACACCAGACAGTGTCAACGAGTCCAACTGGACTGAAGTATGGAAGACACTTTTTAGTCACAATCTAGGCAAGCCATCAGAACCAAAGTTTGCTGTCGGAGAAAGTGTTAATGAACAGAACTGTATAGCGCTGAAGGAAGAGAACCTGATTTTAAGATAGAGAAAGTACTAAGAAGAAGAACGGTGAAGGGTAAAAAGATGGCCCTAGTTAAGTGGTTAGGTTATGATGACAAATTTAACAGTTGGATACCAGCTGGAGACATCAAGTCCCTAACATAAGTTAAAGTATTATGGAGGACTACGATGACATTGAGTTGGAGGAGACAGAAAAAACTTATCCTCAATATGACGATGGAGCGTGTTCAAGCTGTCACAAGAGTTATTAAGAATAAGGAGGGACTGATACTAGATCCTAGGAATAGATACGTCAGGGAACTCATCAAACGATCATCTGTAAAAACACTCAAGGATGGCACAGAGGTGTTGGTATTCAGAAGTGAACAAGGTATGTCAACCTGTGTACTCAAAGCCTCACCTGCACTGAGAGAATACAAGGACCTTATAAAGAAAATAAAAGAGGTACCTACAGATCCTGACGACATAATTGAAAGTGAAGAGCCACAATTTGATACCAGTGATGAGGAATACGCTGACCGTGAGAACATTGAGTTAATAGATATAAGTGCAAACTGGGACCTTCCAGGGCTAACAATGCAAGAAAACAATGAAGGGGTCTTAACCCACCGATGGATCAAGATAGAAGGCAGAACAGGCCCAATGGAGCATTGCAAATACAAGCTGACTACTTTAATGAAGCTATTGGTGAAACCGTGGAACGCGCCACCTCTGCGGAAGGTACAACTGAGTATAATTCCCTCCTAGAAAGAATTGACAGTTTGAAGGAAGCTAGAGATAGGACACTAGAGCAGAGAACAGTAGAGGAAGCAAGAGAGGCACAGTTGGAAGATATTTCTAGATTACGTAGATTTATAGACTGGGTAGGAAAGGAAAAGGTGGGACTTGTAGGGATAGCAGTGTCAACAGCAAGTTTAATTACAGCATTATTAATCCATGCTAGGGGAGCCATTGTAGGGACAGCAAAGGCCACTGGTAAAGTAGCAAAAGCATTAGCAAATTTAGCAAAGAAAGCAGGACCAATTCTAGTTCCAATCCTGAACGCAATTGCAACAGCGCTATCATGGGGAGCCAAGGGAATTGCTTGGTTAGCTTCACATCTATGGGTACTAGCTGTAGCTGCAGCCTTAATGGTATACAACTACTTGGCGCAGCCAGCGTAGCCATCTACTAGCGTAGCTGGTATTACACAAAGTAAATTAGCTATGGAGGAACACCAAGAGGAATACGATGACCAGAAAATGGAGGAGTTGAAGGAAAAGTATCCGAACTACGAAGAAATGGATATAGAAACTTTAGATAGCGAATTACCGTACCTTGACAAGGATCTTAGGGAAAGCGAGACTACTGAGGAGACCCAGGATATTAACGAGGAAATTAATTACATACAGGAACTGAGGAGGAGGAAAATGTTAAGTGGGGACCTTACGAGAGAGCAATTAGCTGAGAAATTCCCTGACCTATCTAATCTATCATACGATGATCTAATGGATAGGGGAGACAGACTGTTAAATGAATTAATACTATCCGGTTTGGACGAAGAAGATTTCAGGGAAAAGTCGGAAGAACTGAGATACGTCAGAATGCTATCAAACGATTACCAAAGAGAGTCAAACTTAAATAAACTTCTCAACTTAAGACTAGAAAATATGTGGAAAGTAGGTGACACAACAGGAAAACTCGTATACAAGTATGAATACCACAGAAAGAGAACTACAGCCTGGCTTCAGGAGGAGCCACATGACATCTATAAGGACCAGGACCCTAAAGTTACTTAATTCAGGTGAAGAGCTGTACATTAACATACCTAAACTAAAGCCTGACTCTTGTCTAGTTCCAGGATCACTTGCACTATTATTTGACTTTAAAAATTCCAATACAAAAAGCCACTTTAATAATAACCTGTCTAAGTTGATAGCTAAACGTCTTCAGATTAAAGTAGCAGGAAACAGCTAAAAGGACTACGAGATATT